GGCCTCTCCCGTTGTGGAGCACAGGCTCCGGACGCGCAGGCTCAGCGGCCATGGCTCACGGGCCCAGCCGCCCCGCGGCATGTGGGATCTTCCCGGACCGGGGTACGAACCCGTGTCCCCTGCATCGGCAGGCGGACTCTCAACCACTGCACCACCAGGAAAGCCCCCCCCGGGGAGCCCCCCCATGCATTTTTATAAACAAGGCTTCTCTTCACCTTCCCTAGGTCAGAGGAATCGCGAAAAGACTGGAGAGAGTAATTGCTGTGTGATCCTGTAAACACTGTCTGCCAGGTGTGGTGTGATGTAGTCTTCGTCTTTCATGCTGCTGGGCCAGAGGAGACCCAACGTCGCTTCAGAACCTTTAGGAAGAGTCTGCCTATAAATACGTGGACCTGAACTATCACATGAACACTGTCATCTTTTCTCATGAAAGTAAAAAGAACCAAGAACATTTTTCACTATGATTTTTTATTTCCAGTATTTTTGTTTATGTTGAGCAGTTTTAAAATGTATTGATTTTTGAATGCAAGTCAATCTCCAGGGGAAAACTTAACAAGTTACCTTTCATAGCAGAAACGATTTTGCTGCCACAAAAATTTTCATTACCAGAACTAACAAAATCAAGTGTTCCAAATACAGTGTACGCTGAAAAAGATGGACAGTTATTTTCTTCATCAGCAGAATTTGTAACATGGTTTATGGTACCTAGAAATATACTCACATATACAGTCCACACTGGAAGACACAGCAGTTAATGAAGTTAATTACTGGGCTAACATGAGAGTAAAAAGTGGACAAGAAACTGAAACGTTGGGTGAATGCTACCAAAGTCAGCCGTGGCGGCTGCACTGGCCCAGAATCCTACACTGAGCGCGACCGTTCTCACTGCGACAAGTGAAGAGACAAAACGTGCCTCTTGTTGAAATTACTCAGCAGAGGGGCTGATGAGATTAGCTGCTTTTCCTTTAACATGTGCGCTCCAGTCAGACAGCGACGGAGGGCTGGCTCACATAGCACAGGATGGGTGAGGGCTCGCGTCCTAGCCTTAACGCAGGGGTAAATTCCAGCCACTCGCAGACCTCCGTGATTGCGCAGAAATATTAGAAAACCTCACTTATTCATCACTTTTGTGTATTCGAATATCAGCAAATTGAATTTTTCCATAATTATTGCTCATCTCTGTGTCCAGTGTCACAGTTACTCATTAGAGACCTCAGATGAATTCTTAAAATTAAAAAATTCTCCATAGGACTAATTTTGTTTCTTTATGTAGTTTGCATTGGGTATTAGTGCTTGCAATTGTATTAAAGTCAAAAGCTGATTTTCAAGGCACACTTGATTAGGGATGCCATTGTTTTGTTTTGTACCAATAATTTAAAAATTGATATGCTAAAAACAATTTGCACAGCACTAAAGCATGAGCTAGTTTCATCTAAACCTGTAAAAAATATAAAAGATTTTATATTTTTTCACTGGGAAGAAATTCTTCCTGGATGAAATTACAAATACGTGTAGAATATATTTAATAAAAAACTTATAAAATACCTAACTATAGAACTTAAATATAGATTGGCGTGTAGTATATAGAACAATGTTCCATATAAGTAACTTTAGCCTTTATAAAAATGAAGCTGCAGGCTGACGTTATGTCCTGTACTGAAATGAGTGTCCACGGCCCTTACAAATAGTAAGTGTAAATCGTTTCAAACGGTCAGCTTTGTTTAAAGGTAATCAGGTTATTTTATTCATTGTTAATGCTTTGACGAAAAGGCTTTATATGCAGTAGATCTACGAAAATATTGTTCATACTGATCAGAATTAAATTTGTATAGAGCAGAGTTTTAAAATGAATGTAAATAGCACTGAACATTTTCCTTCTGCAACCTGGACTTATAGATCCTTTCTGTAAACTAAATAAAAAAAATATTGTAGTGCATTTTGGTGGTAATTTTAAAGGTCTTGATTAGGTTGATAATTGTTTAAGCACTGTCTCATCCATGTTAAAATTGTTCAGTTTTTATTTCTGAATCTTTAAAAAATTTGTTTAATATTCTACTGTTAGGTTTGGGACGAATCCCAGTGTATCTCTGGTATTTAACCTGGTTAATTTGTGCACAGTCACGACAATGGGTAGAATTATGTAGTCCCTGTTATCACTAAGATGTTCTATTCAAGAGATGTCGAACATTTATGTGCTTTGTTGACTAACTCACATGTGAATTCTGTTAGTGTGGACTAAAGAAGAATCTGGTAGTTAATTGGGCAATTAAGCCATTTATGGCTGTATTCTTTCCTAATACAAACTACTGGTAATTATTTTTAATACCTATTTTAATTCTAATTATTCTTCTGTTTCTCCAAAGTTAAAGACTACATTTAATTGTGATTGAAATTTTATGGTTAACCATATTCTCTATTGGTTTTCAATATATTTTTCTGTGTGTTCCCACATTATAAATTTCCCTTCACAAGACCTCAATTTAGAGTTTGCAAAATGGATGAACTGGTTCATCAGTAGAGAATTATGTCTCTCAATACCTGATATCATTGTTGTGCAAAATGAAAAGAAGAATTTGAAAATTGCAGTAAAATTATATACAGGAAACACCAAAAATTTAGATGACTTAATAGTGTATACATGAAAATACTCAACCATCCCTTTGAAAATAGTTCCTTGGACTGCCTGCCGGTTAAAATTGATCGATCATATCCCATTGAAGGTCCCTCTGCCACAAACAGCTTGCTTGCTGAAAGGCGAGAGCCGCAGAGGTCCAGTCCTGTAAATAAAACCTGAGCTACGGGCCTGTGACCCTGCCCAGCACTTGGTATTTAACTCATGTCTTTTACCTAAATTGTCCTAGACTTGAAGTATTCTGGAAAAGGCAAAGCTTTTCTTCTTTATTAAAACCTCAGCATGTCTCCTTGATCTGACTTATTTGGTTCCTCTTCAAGATAAGTTGTATCTTATCATGAAAAATGTAGTATTTAACATCATCATGCACATTACATGAGGTTTTCTCATGACAAACATCTATCCTTTGTTTTATGTCATCTTGACCAATGTTACAATAATTTCTGTTAGCTGACTGTGGTGAACAATGTTTAATGTGAAAAGAAATTAAAACTTTCTTCATCTGTTGTAGAATATTTCCCTTCTTTTAAGTGACTTCATAATTTTGGTGTAGAAATATTCTTTGTCTCTACTATTTTTCTCTTTTTTCCTTCCATTTATTTTATTACATTCCTCAGTAAAATCAGCATTATGTCAGCCTTTTTTTCTTCTCTGTTACCGAAACCAAAGAGAAGTGATCAACCAAAATTTTGTGTACCTTCACACCATCCTTACTGGTAACTGTTGCAGGCATCTCTTTAATTTTTTTCCCATTATTATTTTGCAATATAGCCACTGGTTAGCCAAACAGAGTGACTAGGGGTGGGAGGAGGGCTTGAAGAAGGGCGTGTAACCTATACTTGTGGTTGAAACAAAACTGCAGGCTGCTGGCTGTCTCCTAGGCACGGTTTCCCTGACCTAGCAGAGTGGGCTTCTCGGACGTGGGCAGCGGGTGGTTGGCTGCGGCTCCCCTGTGCGGCTCCGAGCGCTTGGTGCGCTTTCTTCGGAAGAATACAGCGTGTGTGAAGCCCTTTCACAGACCGGGGCATGGGGTGGGGACTGGCTTCCGAAAGAGTTCGTGGACAAAAGTAAATAAACGTCCAAGTCTCGGTAAAGTTTAAGCCAGTACTAGAATATGAAAACATATTTATTATTTTGTGGCTCTTGACAATGACATCAAATGTCCTTCAATATTTTTTTATTCTGCCTCTTTTTCAAAACGCCAACTTTCAAGAAGTATACAGTAGGCATGGTAAATCAATACTTGGGGAAAGGGGATGTGAATCTCTCCTTTGATTCAACCAATAAAAAAACGAACTGGGGGACTTCCCTGGTGATCCAGTGGTTAAGACTGCACTTCCGCTGCATGCCGCGTGGCGCGGGGGGGGGGGGGGAAAGAAAAGGAATTGGGTAAACAAACATATATTTTCTTAACGTGGCTCTGGAAGTGATTTGTTTTAAAACCAAAAGAGTCTGAGGCAGAGACTCAACTGATTCTAGAGTGTAGTTATTACACATTCAGACATTGTTCAGTATCTGATTTTTATTTTCTACAGACATTTCTCAAGCCTTATTTTGGTGTAAGGGGAGTCTACGTTGTAGTAGAAGACACTTTGCTCCTTTTAAATAACAAGGAGGGAACAGGATCTAGAGGGGAATAGTGCCTGACCACACACGGAACTGGAACCTCAAGGTTTTAATCGGTGCTGCTTTTTAGACTGTCCACATGTTCCATGTGATAATAAAAGAGGGGGATTTATTCCGTTCTCAATTGTCTGCTGGATAAGATGGCTTTTCCGGCGTTCTGGAGCCTGGCCCCTCTCATGGTCCCCTTCTGCATCACGTGGTTTTCTCTCCGGGGCTTTGCTTAACTGAGTTCCACTAATTAGCGTGCGACCTTCCACCAGTGTTTCTCAAGCGTTTTTAAAAATTTGATTAACACATCTCCATTTTGACTGATAACTGCCATTCAGCCCTCAGACTGCAGGATACCATGCCCGAGAACAGCAGGGCTTTGGAATCAGGCCTGGCTTCGAGGTCCAGTTACTTAATCTTTGGGCTTCCGTTTTTTCATATATAGAGTAAGGATAATACCTATTTTGTAGGGTTGTAGGGATTATTTTAAAATAAACATTTTTAGCACTGACTGGCCCAAGAACTCATCTGACCGCCCGTCAGAGCTGTCAGAGGGCCTTATGTCGGAAATGGAGGGCCCAGCACCCATGTGTGTTCTAGACATCATGAAGAAGTAGCTTACGAAAAGGAGAAAAAATAGGAAGATTCTGCGTGCAGATCTCTCACAAGTAAATCACTATGTAGTCACAAATTATCCTGATGAGGAAGGAAAAAAGACATTGAAGAGATCGTTGTGGCCACAAGTCAGCTCTCCCATCATAATTTAAACAGCATGAGCAGAACTGGGTGTTTGGCTATGTAAATCAAGGAGAAATCTAGTAAGTGTCAGACACCTCTGAGAATGGTGTTAGAAAGGTCTGGAATGAACTGGGGTTGAACGGAAATAGAAAGTACACGATTGCTGTGCTCAAAACAAAAAGAACATGGAAGGGATACACTGCTGGGTGCCAACCCTGGCTGCATGCCGGAACCACCGGGGGAGTTTTCATTATTTTAATTTTTTACTTTTTCCTATTGACGCCTGGGTTGCTCACATCAGCTGAACTAAATCAGAACACTCGTGGCTCGGAATGGTCTCCTTAATTCTTGCCAATGACCAAAACCAGAACCACTTAAATACCGAGAACACAACACAGTGGAAAGACTGCAGTAAGTGGAGTTAAAGTAGAAATGGAAAACCGGGCGAGAGGATGGAGACGGGGAATAAGGGTCCCAGCCGCTTTGGATTCTAGGAGACCTTGCGCACGCCGAGTAGTACTGCCCCTGCGCCCCTCCCGCCGCATCGCCCTAGACCCCCTCCTCCCTGCGTGCCTTTGCGCATGCTCACCACCACCACCCGCTCCCAGACCACGAGGCCAGACCCCCCCAGCATCCCAGCCGCGATACCCACGGGGAGAAATAATGTCGAAGTGGAATCCATAAAGATGAGAAGGATTTGTACATCAGCGTTCGCAGCAACATTACTCACAGCACCCAAAGGTGGCAGCTACCCAAACAGATGAATGGAAAAGCAAAATGTGGTATCGTCAGACAATGGAATATTATTCGACTTCAAAAAGGATGGAAATTCTGACACATGCTACAACACGGATGAGCCTCGAAGACACTATTCTAAGTGAAATAAGAGGCCACAAGAGGACAAATATTGTGTGATTCCACTTATACGAAGTACCTTGAATAGGCATCATAGAGATGGAAAGTAGAACAGAAGTGACCAGAGGCTGAGGGAAGGCAAGGATGGGGACACGGGGACACAGTTTCAGTCTGGGAAGATGAAAAGAGCTCTGGAGGTGGACAGTGGGGATGGCTGCACATCGTGAATGCACTTAATGCCCCGGCTTGTACGCTTAAGAATGCTTAAAATGGTCAATTCTATGTTATATATATTTTACCACAGTAAAAGAAAAATAAAACTTTTTTTCAAACACATGAGTAGGCCTTACCCAGGAAAAGGAGCCTGGCAGAGCTTCAGAGAAAATGGGCAGAGGGCGACGCAAGCAGAGCAAACAGAAATGCAAAGGCCCAGAAATGAAAGCGGGCACACTGGCGAGGAAATTGTGAGTAGCTCGGTGTGGCTGGAGCACGGAGGACTTGACTTTGACAGGGAGGGAATGAGAAAGTTGAGGCTTGCAAAGCGAGCCGGGGCCACGACGTGAGGAAGCTCAGAAACCCCACCCATAACTCCGAAATCTGGACTTTTCCTGCAGGTGGGCTGCACCACTGAGTGTCATGCACATTCACACACCCCCAGAAGGGACTTGGCGATTTCCCTCCAGCCTTTCTACTGTAATAAATTATATAATAAAATAAAATACACTGTTTCTGTATTTTTAAAAATGCTTATTATAAAGAATTCAGAGTCTTAAACATGAAGAGGTGAAAAGTGTTTTCATTTTAGTTTTACCCCAAGCCCATCACGCACAAATAAGAACATGATCTGAATATTCTCTGTTCATATTGACAGCAGAGACGGTTCGTAAGCAAAACTGCTTTATAAACTTGGGGTCATACAACAGAAGCTGTTTTGAATTTTAGTTGCATTCAACAAAAGACATGGAAATGAAACTCAAAGAATCACTGTCACATAAAAGTTTCTTCACCACCAGAGGGTTGTTTCCTAAATATCCCTCTAGGATTAAAGAAAGAGTGATTATGAAGAAAAAGAAGAGGTTACTATTTATCTTTAGTACTTTATGTTTCAGTTTCAGACAATACTAATTGATTCCTTTCTCTGAAAGATGAAAGAGGTATTACTTCTTCCATCTGACCCCCTCTGAATTTTGTTAAGTTATATGATTATTTTAATACTTCCCATATTTCTGACACATACACTGCTCTCTAATTATGTGGTATCATAATTATTCAGTTTTAACTCTACATTTGAATGGATTCCATATTCACTTACCAATCTTTCATCAAAGCTTCCCGAGTCCTGATGGTTTTAAATCATGAGTCATCTATCAGTGGGTTAAGTTGTTATTGTAAAATATCTTTTTAAGAAGATTCACAGCACTGCCTAAAGATGTCTGTCTGTTACCTTTACGTTTGAATGACACCTTGATGGGGTGGAATGATCTCAGGCTGCACGTTCTTTCAGAACTTGGTAGACATTACTCCAATGTTCTCAGGCTCTGACTGTTGTGAACAATTCTGAGGCCAGTCTAATTTGTCTCTCTTGTAGTTGATTTGTGTTTTTCTAGATGCCTGGAGATTTCTTTGTTTAAGCCTCAAGTTCAACAGCTTCTCCAGGCTATGCCTTGGCAAAGGGCTTTCAGTGTCAAAATCTCCAAGAATGTGGAGTGTGCTTTTAACCTGCAGATTCAGTTCTGCCTGGGAAATTTTTCATATGTATCTCTCAGGACATCTTCTGGTCCTCTTGTCAATCCTCTGCTTCAGGGACACCAATTGTGCTTCTATTGGATTCTCACCATTCACGGGCCGGATGTGTTATCTTCTCTGCTTTAACATTGGTGTCTTTTCCGTGTGCAGTCACTGAGATGACCTCCGTCTTTCTTCTGATGTCAGCACTTTGATTCTCAGCTGGGTCCAGTCCTTTGCTTTTTACGAAATTTATACTTCAGCTCTCTAAGTATGATGTTGTGGAGTTTGTGGAAATGGGTGGGGGGGAGGCGGATGGAAGGAAAAGAAAGAAAACTCAGCTGCGGGGTGTGCAGGCTCTGTTGGAGAAGTTTCCCCTGCTCGCTCTGCTGATGTGTCACTGAGCGTCTGGAGCTGGTGTCCCCCCGCCCGGCTGAGGGTGTTGTTCATTCCCACCTGGGGTGACCCTCAGGGTCGGATTATTCTCCCAACTCAGTCACTGTCCTAGACCCTCACTTCTGCCGGAGAATCAGCTCTATTTTTCACTTTCTCCCATATTCCTCCACCCCTCCGTCTCTCCCCCCACACACTCTGTGTAAAGTGCTTTTCTAGTTGCCGGTCACAAAGAGGGAAAAATAGGGGCTTCCATGGTGGCGCAGTGGTTGAGAGTCCGCCTGCCGATGCAGGGGACGTG